CCCCTCTCCCCTTTCTTCCCTTCCCTCCCCTCTCCCCTTTCTTCCCTCCCCCTCCCCCTCCCCCTCCCCTCCCCTCCCCTCCCCTCCTCTCTTTCTTCCCCTCTTTCTTTCTTTCTTTCTTTTCTTTCGACAGTCTTGAAAGAGTCTTGGTCTGTTGCCCAGGCTGGAGTACAATGGCATGACCTTGGCCCACTGCAACCTCTGCCTCCCTGGTTCAAGTAATTCTCCTGCCACAGCCTCCAGAGTAGCTGGGACTACAGGCTCACCCTACCACACCTGGCTAATTTCTGTATTTTTAGTAGAGTGGGGGGTGGGGAGTGGTGAGAGGGGACGGGGGCGTGGTTTCACCATGTTGGCCAGGCTGGTCTCAAACTCCTAGGCTCATGTGATCTGCTTGCCTTGGCCTCCCAAAGTGCTGGGATTACAGGCATTGAGCCACTGCGCCTGGCCCTCGAGTTATTTCTAAGTGTCAATAATGATTTACGTAAATAGTGCCTGGCTTACTTCTCAACAGGTCACTGTGACCTGTTTTATAGTCTTAACATTCAAAAATATTTTAAAGAGTAAGTATTGAAGAGGAATTGAAATTAAATATTGTGTAATAATAAGCCCAAAAGAAATACTGAATAGTTACCTATGCCATTTTTTCTACTTTTATAAATGATTAATTATATCCCAGAATAACTTTCTACTCTTTAAAAGTGCACATAAACTTGGCTTTGAATTTGAATTCTTGAAATGTAGAAGAGTATTCTAAGTGAAGATTTAACTGAGCTCCTTGTTTCAATGAAAGGATACTAATAAACATATTTTTTATCCTAGGCATTTACACAGAATTGTAACAATTATCCAAAAATGGTGGAGAGGTTTCTTAGGCAGAAAGCAATATCAACTAACTGTGCAGGTAAACATAAAATGTATGTCTGTTAGCATCTGAATTATAAAATATGCTGTAACTTAGTCACTTTAGTCGTATTTACATAGAGTTTGGAAGTTACTGATGATGAGTATTTACATAAGGACAAAATTGGGCTTAATTTTCGCTATGAGACCTCTTCTGAAAGGATTTTCTGATATTTCCATGGAGAATTGACTCATTTTTTTGGTATCCGAACTACACTGACACTATTTTTGCTTCAAGTAACTTTCACAGCATATGCATTTATACTCATTTATTGATGTTTTTCTGTACTTTGTAGATGGTGAGCTTTTTGAGAGTGGGCACTGCAGCCCACTTCCTTTTTGGATCACCAACATTTTAGGCAAATACCTTGCCCAGAATGCAGGCAATAAATATCCTCATAAGGATGCCAAATTGGTCAAAGCTAACAATAAACTGCCTTCTGTCATTTCTTCAGGACTTTCTGATACATTTTGTTTTATAGGTGTAAACGAGATTTAAATAATTTAATAAATGATATATTGTTCCAGAATGGGTTTTTTATAGAAAGTTAAGCATATTTGTGGGTATATTGTGAATGTATTTGCAAATAATTATCATTGGAAAGCAACAAAGATTGCATGGTGCTTTTAGACTAACTATTGTTTATTAAACACCTGCTATATACCAGGCATTTTGTGTAACTATTTAATTTGTCTATTATGATGCTTATTAAAAGTAACTATTGTACTCATCTGGCAGGCTAGGTAACTGAGTCTCATACACTTGCCCATGAACAGATACTGGTATATTTAGTATACATAGCAACCTTCCAGATGTTACAGAATTTTTTACATTAGGCACAGTTGTCTGATAATTGGCAAGATCCTCTACCTAATCTCCATAAGGACAGAGACTATGTCTCATTAGTGTTGTACTCTCAGAGCCTGGTGCCTGACATATACCAGATAATTAGCACTTACATAGATGAATAGAAGAATAACCACCAATTCTGTTTCTAATATGCTGTGCTCCCTTTACCAAGTAGAAGCCAAGAATTGATACCAATTGGTAATCAGTTTGATAGATGTCTAACTTCTTTTTTTTTTTTTTTGAGATGGAGTCTCACTCTTTCCCCCAGGCTGGAGTGGTGCAGTGGCGCGATCTCAGCTCACTGCAACCTCCACCTCCCGGAATCAAGTGATTCTCTTGCATCAGCCTCCCAAGTAGCTAGGATAGGATTACAGGTTCCAGCCGCCATACTCGGCTAATTTTTTTGTATTTTTAGTAGAGACAGGGTTTTACCACATTGGCCAGGCTGGTCTCGAACTCCTGACCTAAGGTGATCTACCGGCCTTGGCCTCCCAATGTACTGGGATTACAAGTGTGAGCCACCACGCACATCCAAACTTTTTTTTTCCCCCTCTCCTGTCTTGATTTTGGTTAAAAGCATCATTTAAAAAAGTAGCTCTTTAAAGTACGCTAAAATCAAATGCCTCTATTTCTGTTTCTGCTTAACATTTTGAAAAGGAAAAATGGGGAAGAAAATGTAGCTAATAGTTACTGAATATATGCTAGGTGCCAGACACTGTGGCAAGCATTTAAATGCAGCATCTCTGAGTCTTGTACCTACCTTTTGACTCTCACTGAACTGTAGAAAGAGCACAGGCTTTAGACCTGATGATGGAGGTTTGATGACAGTGAGCAAGTTATTTAACCTGTGTGAACCTTCCTTTGTCCCTTGTCTTTAAAATGAGGATAAGAATGTTTGGCAGATTTTTGTGAAAATTCAGTGAAACACTCTGTGTAAAATACTGGGAACTGTGATTGGCACATAGTTGGTGCTCAAGAACAGTAGTTTTTCTTTCTTTTTTCCTCCCTCCTCCCCTCCTCCCCTCCTCCCTTCCTCCCTTTCTGCCTTCTTTCTTTCCTTTCTCTCTCCCTCCCTCCCTCCCCTTCTGTCTCTCTCTTTCTCTCTCTCCTTCGTTCTTTCTTTCTTTTTCAGAGTCTGGCTGAAAAAGAGTCTTTCTTTCTTTTTCAGAGTCATTTTCAGAGTCTGAGCCGAGACCACGCCAGGCTGGAGTACACTTGCGTTATCTTGGCTCATTGCAACCTCTGACTTCCTGGGGTTCAAGCGATTCTCCTGCCTCAGCCTTCTGAGTAGCTGGGATTACAGGCACTTGCCACCACACCCAGCTAATTTTTGTATTTTTAGTAGATACGGCATTTTTCCACGTTGGCCAGGATGGTCTCAATCTCCCGACCTCATGATCAGCCCATCTCGGACTCCCAAAGTGCTGGGATTATGGGCGTGAGCCATCATGCCCGACCAAAAATGGTAGTTTTTCATTTGTGATGCTGTTGTTAGTATTCAAAAACTATTGAGGCAGTTTGCTTGGAGTAATATAAGTGAGATATTTTCAAATCAAATTAGCCCCACTTCATATTTCTCTCACTGGTGCATAATCACATGATGATTTCATTATATGTGAGTGAGTGTGATGTACGGATGCATGGATATAGATAGACATATAATTTTTAAACAGTGATTCAGGAAACCTCCTATGTTTTGAAGTTTGTCTTTCTTAGAATTAGGGACTGTAGAAATTTGGAGGAAAGCAAAGAAACACAAAGATAGATGTCTTTAAAGCTGTATTTATAAAAAATAGGAAAGAAAACTGAAGAGGGAAAAGAGACTTTCAGCATTTAAAGGTAGATATTAGATTCACCATCAATCCATCAAAACTGCTATTTAATTCATAACCCTGGAATCTAGAACTCGATATTTTAGAATATTAAAGGTCATCGGGATAATTTGTATTTCTTTATTACTGTCTATGTCTCTGTGCATATATATTAAAATTAATATAGTTAAATATATACTCACATATTGCTGAAGAGTTAAATCTGCATAATCTTCATCAGATGCTCTTCTGAAGAAAATCAGTGTGGTTGTAGGAACAAAAGTTTTAAGACTCTTTGACAATTGCTGACATTGGATAGAGAGCCAATGGAAGCAGATGAAGTCAGATAGAAGGAGGTGTTATAGATGTTTCCTGGGCATAATATCATGCTTAAACAGTGAAGGAGAGGTTTGATTTTCTTCTTTTATTTTTTCAATTTGAATGCCCAGCCATTTTAGTAATAACCTTTTATCTGGCATACATACAAACAACCCTATTTTTTATTGAAAGACATATAAAACCAAATAATTCCACTGGCTACAGTATATACTCCATTTGCTATCCAAACTTAATTTATAAGATTTAATGCAGAATCTTTTTTTAAAATTATTATTTTTATTTTATTTTTTTGAGACAGAATTGCTCTGTTGCGCAGGCTGGAGTGCAATGGCATGCCCTTGGCTCACTGCAACCTCCGCCTCCAGGGTTCAAGCAATTCTCCTGCCTCAGCCTCCCAAATGGCTGGGATTACAGGTGTGCACCACCACGCCTGGCTGATTTTTGTATTTTTAAGTAGAGGCGGAGTTTCACCATGTTGGTCAGGCTGGTCTCGAACCCCTGACCTCATGTTCCGCCCACCTCAGCCTCCCAAAGTGCTGTGATTACAGGTGTCAGCCAGCCCACCCAGCTTAATGCAGAATCTTTATTTCACATTTGGGTCCATTTGTCCCACAAGTATGGAAACAATGTAATCAAATATCAGTACTTCTTTTGTATGTGAAATTTCTATTGGCTTTTAAACACTATTTTTAAATATAAATTTTCTTTTTCCACCTTCTTTCTCCCTTCCTTTTCTACTTCCTTTCTAATTTTGACATACGATTTTTATTTATTTATTTTTTATTTACTTATTTATTTATTTATTTATAGACGAAGTCTTGCTCCCTCACCCAGGCTAGAGTGTGGTGGTATGATGTTGGCTCACTGCAACTTCCGCCTACCTGGTTCAAGCAATTTTCCTGCCCTAGCCTCCTGAGTAGCTGGGATTACAGATGCCCACCACCACGCCTGGCTAGTTTTTGTATGTTTAGTAGAGATGGGGTTTCACCATGTTGGCTAGGCTGGTCTCAAACTCCTGACCTTAGGTGATCTGCCTGGCTTGGCCTCCCAGAGTGCTGGGATTACAGGCATGAGCCACTGTGCCTAGGTGGCATATGATTTTTAAAATTTATTGTGTTACAATCGACATCAGGCCACTTTAAAATAAATTTTAAATTTTGAAAAAAAATTTAGATTTACAGAAAGGTTGCAAAAATAGTACAAAGAACTCCCATATATTCTCCACTTACATTTTTTTAATCAAGTGAAAAAATTAACGTTATTATTTCCTCTTCTCTATATACATTTTTTCTCTATATGCATTATTTTATTCATTTGACACAAAATTGCAGAAGTTATGCCCCCTTATCTCTAAATATATCCCATACATATTGTTTACATAATCATATTACAATACTAAAATCAGGAAATTGACATCTGTACAAAACCATTATCTAATCTGTAGACTCTATTTATATTTTATTGATTGCACCAATAATGTCATTTTTAGCAAAAATCTTTTCCAAGATACAAACTAGGATTTCACTTTGTAGTTCATATCTAGTAGTTGTGTCTCTTTAGTCACCTTTAATTTAGAATAAATTTTTAGTCTGTCTTCAACTTTTATAGCCCTAATATTTTTTAAGACTACAGACTAGTTATTTTTCAGATTATTTCTCAACTTTTGTTTGCTAGTGTTTCTTCAGTGTTAGATTCTGGTTATGTATTTTAGCCGAAATACATCTCAGTACGTAGTATTATGATGCATATGTCATCATTTTGTTCAGTAAGTGTTGTTAACTTTGACTGTTTAAAGTCGTGTCTCTCAGGTTTCTACACTGTCAGTTTACTATTGTCTCTTATGAGGGGATATTTAAAGAATATGTATACCTTTTGTTTCTCATTAAACTTTTGTGTGCTAGGTTTAGCATCCAATGATGATTCTTACCAGAATCAATTATTACTATATTTATCCAACAGTGATTTTCTAATTCCATCATTTCTCCTACATTTCCTTACCAG